TCGACGTTGCCTTTTAAGGCTGTTTTCGTCGACCCACGTGTCTACCTTGTACGCGATACTTGCGACAGAATGGATACATTGTCGGTGATTCCCACTCGGGCCACGGATTAGCCTTGAACTCCAATGTTCGTAGTGTGTTTACGAGAACAGGGCCTGGACGATGTTTCTGATGACTAAAAGGGCATTGATTCAATTCCAAAGTCTGAACTATGGAACACGTGCATTTGTCTTCGAAGCACAACAGGCGTAAGCATTCAAAACAATCATATTTTTTCTGTCTAACAATATGCCCTATTTTTAGGAGCGTAATGAATTCTTGATTATTCGGTTAATTATTTTTTGACAACTTGATTTTTTGGCTCGAGTTTCGACCTGAAAGTACTATCTCGAAAACTAGAGGAGATACATGAAAACTTCTAATGCACGAGGTTTGTGGTTTTTTATGTAGAATAATATGGTGCTAAAAATTGTCCAAAATATAATTTATTTATAAGAAAAAAATTTCGGATAGAAACTTCGAGGGGTGGTTTCACCCCGTAAAGTCGAGTCTCAGCCGATAAAAAAATACGTATCCCTTATTTTTGACTGCTTAACAGACATACGAAGTTTCATCAAAATCGAAGGGGGACACTTTCGTGCCTCCCCTTGTAAGTGAGATTCACGACCCCCGTGAGAATTTCGGTATTCGCAACAGTAACAGACGTCGTTATCGTTATCTCGGAAACGATGACGAACGTCGAGGCGGCTGAGGGACGCCTCAATGCCGCGGACTCGTCGAGGTAATTTGAATATCGAGGCGAGGCACGTTGTCCGCGTCACCTCTTTTTATCGACTTGCGAAGACACCGGTGGATAATGAGGCGCGATTCGTTGGGATTGTACGACGATGAATATTCATCGGCCAGTAGGTTCCTCTATTTTTAAAAGCCCGCATACCGATGCGTTTCAATACTGTTTTGCGTCGCGATTGTTAATCGTCCGCGTGACTGCCAATCGTTTATCCAATTTCATCGAATCCGTCACGTTTCACGGAGATAAAGGACGATTTTTCGTGGGGATTTAGGAAATATATTTTTTTTTATAGAAACATGAGCCTCGATTAGTATACGCGTGACCAGGAATACTTTTGTAGGCTCAGGCGTTGATACCTTTGCTGGGTGAAAGCTTTATTGTATGGTTCGTCAGGTTTTTTTATTTACTTTTTAATCGAACACTTTGCGGAAGAGTTCGATTCAGGTTTTTGTAAGCTGGTGCGTAACGAATTGCTGGCTCACTGGTTTAAGACTGTAAAGGAGTAACATATAGGATGTTTAGATTGTTATACACTCCGTAGCATAATTATAATAATCACTCTAAACTTTTCAATTCTTATGTATTGTGGTCAAAATGAAAACAAACCAAGTATGTTACGTCTGAAGTCGTGATGAGAAACAATGTTTCACCGGAAAAGGATAGATTATATTCCCTACAAAAAATTATTCCTTTTTATTTTAACCACTATACATTTATTAATGCATTGCTGCGTCTGAGAGAAACGCAATGATATAGAAATTTTAGTGAAGATTGAAATGAATGGTTCATTTTCCGTTTGACATAATGAAACCATTGCTCGAGAAATATGTTTCCACTTAGCTTTATTTTTTACAAATAAACACTTAGAAATGCTAGCTTGTACTACATCTACACTCTAGTGATAGCTTACGATAACTTACCTACCGACATAACCAACATTCTTGTAGAGATCATTAGATGGTATGCTTAGCAGTTTTTCAGCATGAGTGTTTATGTTCAAGTATAGATTACGATCGAATTCAATGGCCAAGTCTCGAGCCGTTTCAGACCGCGGTAAGGTAACAAATACGGCGAAAATAAGAGAACGAAGGATCCATCTGGGTAGAAAAATAGTCCCGCGCGGCAATGAGGTTTATTGGACCGGAACCCGGAACACCGTTTACCGGATTGCTTCACCCTATTGATCCACGGGCGTTCGACTTCGTACCTCAATCCCCGACACCAAAATAGACTACGGCCTACTGGTTAGGTCTGCTAATGGATTCGTCGGCGTAGACTCCTAGTAGGTCTGTACCTTAGATTCGGGGACACCAGATGCTTCTATCTATTTTAGGCCGATCAGTTCCACAAATTGCTTTCATGTGTTAGTGCATGACGTTAGCTTGACAGTTGCATAGTAAATAATTTGGACCCTTTTGAGGAAGCGGTGCCATTTGTAATTTAACCTTTGCGTAGGGTTCAAGTAACTATTCCAGCATTTGTTGAGTAACATTGAGCTAAAACTGAAATTGAATTACGGAATTGTGTTATTGGGTTGATGCAGTAGTAGTGGACAAAATTCTCGAAGTGATATTTTTGTATTATTGTCACCATAATTTTCCGAAGACGGATCATATTATTGAAATGGTACGTTACACACTACACAATGCAAAATACGTTGAGTAATTAAATTATTCTCATATTTTAATTAAAAGTTTTGTTCTCGTATGGAGACATTCCCATAATTTATGCATCCACCAAATAGTTTATGTGTAAATTATTTGCACAGAATACATGTGTACCTTTTTGGGGTTAAATAAACCATAAATGGAGGAGTAATCTGTGAAGCGTGAAGCACGAGTAAATTTGCCATTTGTACACAGCTAATGGTAAATTATAGGTGTAATGAAGGCCAGTTTGACGAAAGCCTGAAGAAAAGAAAGTTTCCTATGTCTGTCTATGACTGGCTATTTCTACTTGCACAGTAGTGGTAGCCTCTTGTAACTTACGAGTATGATTCGAAGGAAGAACTTCCCTATTAACTCAGACAATAACGATCGCTTTAAAGAAAGTTCGAAGATAAAAAAAACATAATCTGTTGTGTAATTTGAGTATCCGTCTCGTGTGTCTGTTCACGACTGGTCATTTCTGCTTGTACAGCAGACGTAACTGATCGTAATTTATGTATAAAAAAAATAATTGGAGAAGCTAGTAGATAACAAAGAGCTTACCTTAGCTTCAGTAATCCGAGGAATGTTTGAAGATAAGAAAATGAAAATGTGTTTCGCATAACAGAAATAAACAGACGCGCGCGGTTCACGGCGATTCGAGACAAGCGGAGCACACCTGGTCCCCACTCCCGCGCACCTGTGGACGACGAACGGGAGTGCAAGAGGGCACACGTTGCCGAAGGTGGTATGTATATCCACCGAGTGTCCGTCGAATCAGACCGTCGTGGAGTGGGAGGAGGCGAAGCACGAAGGAAGGAGCAAGAAAAGACTTGCCGCAAGCGAGCGAGCGAGCGAGCGAGGAGGGACCTGTGGCTTCTCGGGCAAGTCACACGGCCGAGCATGTTCCGCCGGCTCGTCCGCTCGTCGTCGCGGATCGCGTTTGTAAAATCGATACCGTTCCCCTGGAATCGCTCGTAAACGTTCCGCGAGTTCACCAAATGAGACTTCATCGAAGTGTTGTGCTGTTCAGTGTCGACCGCGAAATTTCAAATCGCTTACCACAGGTGTGTGGTCCAGGTGTGCGTTCGTTTCTTCTGGGAGTATAAATATAGTGGCTACGGTCACGGTGCGTCGCGTGTTCGTGGCCATCGGTGTTTCCCTACCTGGGGAAAAGTGTGCACACCGTCGACGGAATTTCTAAATTGTCCGAGGAGAAAGGTACTTTCTACGCGTGGCGATCGTACGATTTTTCCGAGTCAGAGGGGCCATCAGCGCGTTTGCAGATCGTGGTGTCGTTCGGCCGCGCCTGGAGAACCAACACGCCCCAACGCCACGCGACCTTTGGATGCACCACGAGCCATCAGGCCGTTAAAACACCCGATTAAATTTACACGGTGACGCAACTCGAGCTCGCTCGTGACCGTCGTCGACGGCCTACGAAGAAGCCAGTTACGAGCACCACGCGTACGTCACACGGTGTAAAAAAAAAAGGGGCGTCCGCGACGATATCGCGCGGTTCTAACGACGCTCGATCGTTGAAACAGTGGAATGCTCGGACCCGTGGTTGTTGTCATGGTCGTGGTCGTTTAATGGTTTACGTTCGGAACGCGTGGTTTCTCCGGGAGAAAAGTGAAATTCCGTCGCGTAAGTATAAGGCTAGGCACGCCGCGACGAACTCCTAAGGAGACCTCGAAGTCGTTCTTGTCACGTTCGGGTCGGATTCCGTGCGGTTTTCCTTAAGCGAACTGGGTCGGTCGCGATGTATACTTAGAGGCACGATAACGCCGGAGAAAAAAAAAGTGCGGTGCCCTGTTTAAATGTTGACCGTAAGGAATACTGTGTGGATTGAAGCTAGTTGTTCAATTATATTTTAATCCCTCTTGAGCCGTTTACGTTGACCGAGTGTTGAGGTCTCGTTTATCGAGCTGACATCGATGGAACTCCGTGGGATTTATCTGGACGATCGATTCTGACCAAGGTCTTCGTGATAAAGTGTAATCCAGGTGTAGAATGTTGATTGTACCGTAAGAGAGAAGGAATCGGTTATTCAAGTGTATTTTAATTCTTGTTTGGTATATTTTTATTGTCTACGTGTGGGGGTTTTGTTCAGTAGTGAATCTTCGTTGGAATTCGTTGGGATTTATCCCAAACAACATACCTAGGATAAGACCCAACCTCAAAGTGTTAATGATCCTTCAAAGTTCAGATAAGAAGTCTTCGAGGAATGTGTTAATTCTTCTATAGTATCCTCATAGGCCAAGTGCAAAACTCCTTGCGACCTCTGGATCATCCACAATTTATCCGGAGAACCGATCCAAACGACCATCAGATCCAGTATCCAGTATAAAATGTGACCACCCCTAAAGTGTCAATGGTTGGAACCTCTAAGTCACCTGCAAATTACCTGGAAAACCAATCCAAACAACAACATATCTAGGATAAAGTGTAACCCATTCCCAAAGGATCAATGGTCCTTCAAAATACAGACAACTAGTTCTTGAGGAAGATTTTAATTACTCTGGATCTGTTTAAACTCTGGATCATCTGGATAAGGTGTGAATCCACTTTCTCAGTGTCCGTGGCAGAGATCGGGTCGCTTCGCTCACGTCGAAGCTCGCCGCGCATCTCAGCAACCACGTGGGGACGCGATAATCCCTCGCGAATTATGCGGGAGGGTGTTGAGTAGCAGGTCGGGGTGTAGCGATTACTACCGGGATGTCAGCGAGATACGGATTGACATGGGAGCCGGCGACATGAACAGGGAGATACCGAGCAGCACCCTCGCGACACTCCGGGGGATCCTGGTGAGCTCGTTGTCGCGGGAGAACTTGGGCCCGCACGATCTGCCCATTCAGGAGAACGGGAGGCATCGACCCCAGAGGAAGGTGCACTTTCACGAAGGTACATTCACAGACGTCCCGTCCGGCGGCCAGTAGTCGATGATCATTATAATATAAACGGAGGAAGCGGGCGCGCCCAATCGTCTACTAGCATACCCACCCGGCAACAAAATTGTGCCGGGTCGACCAGTGGTCCGAAATCAAAATTTTGCGGCTCATTGAGCTCAAGTAATAAAAATTAAAAAATTTATAATTTGTTTCAATTAATTTGCTATAATCACGTTAAAGCTCTCTTGAAACCATGATGTACCTGATAAAAACGTATTCATCAACAGAGTAATTTCTACTGATCACGATTCGTGGTTCACCCTGTATATACGAATAATTTTAGGGATCCTCTTGGAGACGTCATCATTCACTGAAAGTGTTTTCGACACTTTCATGAAAGTATGAATTTTTAGGGAATTTTGTTTTCTATTTTTTACAGTGATTAATGGTACGAAATGTGTGGAGGAAAAAAGCAATGCATGGATCAAATATTTTATGGTTAATAATAAGCTGATATCAGTGTTTTTGGAGAATAAGTGAAATTTTGTTTTTGAACATTCGAGCTGCTAAATTTTAATTCTGAACCACTCTTGGCTATTTCTCTGGCTGTTATAGCTTGATGGAGAGAAAGTTCAGGAAAGATTCTGAGAAGATCGTTCGATAGTGAAAACTGCGAGCAACCGGGATGTACGGTCGAGGGGTTTTTGCGCGTCTCCATCCGCGGTCAATTTGCTAACGCGGTTTACGCGATTCCCGGGAAACGCTTGAAACACCTGCTCGTGAAAACTGCAGGTAAAACGAGCGGGACCTTGCTGTGCTGGATCGTTTACACTATTAGCTGGTGAATCATTCGAGCTGTCGATTGATATCTGGTAGAGATTACGTTTGTAAACGTTATTCATCGTTCCGTGTACTTTCTGGTTTGACGAGTGTTTCTGCGGTAGATAGGGATTGTTCGATTAGCAATCGAGGATTTGTTCTTATTCGATGAGATATTCGAAGGGAATAGATACTATTATAAGGGGTTTAGGAATGTCTGACCTTGAATTACTAGAACTACTTAATACAAGAAGTGAACTGAAATAGTGTATGGAATTTTATCACTTTTCTTCGATGTTTAATTTATTGTTAGAAAGATAATTCTACTATATTTCTTCTGAGAGCTTGCAAGTGAATATGTGAGTCTTTCAATAATTGATATAAGTTTCTTAAATAAGTAATTCTTAAGACAGTGTATGTTACTATTACACCGTGGATTTTATGGATTTACACTATGCAACAGTAGTATTTAAACTGTAGAAGACTTAATGGTTCGTTATGTAAAATTGATACAGCTCATTAAAGGAGACAGACTAAAATTGCAGTATATTAATAATGAATACCTAAGTGAACTGTATGATCTTGAGACAAGATTATTCACATGCGTGTTTTATGCAGAATCTTTTACATTCATGTGCAATTTAAATCCAACCATTCGAACACTCGTTGCTCACTGCATTTTAAACGAACCTCAACAAACCTCATCAAAATAAGTATTCTAATAGAGCAACCCAGTAAACTTCACCTTTTCTTTCCAGAATATATCCATTCATCGAGGTAATCAGTGTCCATACATATTCTCTCTCCCTAAAACAAAGTTCATAGGAGTCGAAATTTGCATAAACATCCACAGTCCACTTGGTATGGATTTATGCCATAGAAATCTATACCAAGGATCATGGAAAATATATTTGACTCATTTCGACACCAACTCGATCCCCATCACCGTTGTCTGAATTTCAACAATCCGTCGTGTAAATTCAACTCCGCCGTCGAGTCACAAGTTTCGCTGGGGAACGACGACGGATCCGTCGAATTCACTCGTTATTCCGCTCACGAGCGTCGTCGTGCTGCTTATGAATCGAGGATGACGATCAAACTTTCCAGGCGGCCCATAACGATCGACTTGGTCCGCTCGGGCGCATTTGACGCCCGGACAAAGCTATCTGCTCCATGCGAAACGTCTTTGATCGTCCCAGGGTTAAATATTTCGCTTGATTCTGGCTGTCGGATCGGCTCGACGCTCCCGTCGTTGCTGCAACGACCGACTGTTTCCACGGAAAGGAGACGAATATACGCCATTGAGCCAGGTTTAACTCGTTACAGGAGAGACAGTCGGAATCGAAGCCTGGCTTAGGGCACGCCCACGATCTCTGATTCCTTGTAGTATTCTGCTTGGAATCAAGCTTTTTTTTTGGGGGCACTTCGTAATTATATGGTACGAAAAATTAGGTAATAATCTTACAGGTAACGTTTTAGTAACATTAGACGGTTGATTTTAATAATCGTTAGTACAGTTAAAAGTTAACTAAAATGCAATGAGGTGTTTATTCTATTTGGGACCTGACGAATCTCTTGACAGGGTAAACAAATTTAGTCTAATTTCATATTTTGTGAATCGTTCCATTAAGATCATGGTGTTCCTATAAACATCCGTAGTCTAATAATAATATTGTCGTAGGAATATTCACGATAATCAAGTGTCATTTGATTGCAAATGTTCATGCCAATTCGTGTCTTTATAAATCAATCGATCAACGCATGAATGAAATACCAATGAGTTTTCTTTTGCGTATCTTCTTCTGTCATAAAATTTCCACCATTTGTCTCTGTACAAACTTCATAACAGTTTTGAGTGCACTTTATTTAGACGTATCTACTACAACTGCACAATATCTCCATTCTAGTAGAATAAATAGTATAACCCAAGAGTCTTTCAATTCCATCGACTGACAGTAGACATACGATAGCAAACAGACGAATACCTCAGGCACATTCATTACATTATATGGATTGAAAGAAAAACAATTATTGTGATAGCTCGTTGATCAAAGCAGTCGCCCAACAACCAACAGATCCACGATGTTCGATTCTCGATACGCTTTCAATCGAATCTTGTTCCCCCCACAAAGGAAATCCGCAGAAACACTCGATATCGTCTGTTCATTTTTCCTGTCGCTAATTCGATTATTTCACAGTGCAGCAAACTCTGTAACTAAAGGTTCCACCGAACACGCTTCAGATCTGTTTGTTCCCGGAACCTTCTCCACTAGCCGCGTTATTTATTTCGAGTCTTCAATTATGGAAACGCGACGGTTGTGAGTTCTGTTTGTAACGGGGCCGACTAGCGTTGAACGACGCGGCTCGCTGGATTTTTCTCGTTAAACGTAATGAAAGGTTTCCTCGGAAAGTAACGTTAGCCCAGTCGTAGCATTGTTTGCCCTTGCACTCGCGGAGACTACGTTTCCTTCTCCTGGATTCGACGTAATTGCTGGAAACGCTCGGGCTCAAGGCAGCTCATCGCCCTAGCCCCGTGACTAATAGATCTGCTGATGTCATGCACCAAAAAGTTCCGTCTCCGTGCCTCGACGCCTCTGGTTTTCGCGTTTGATAAACGACCACCTTCCTCCCTCCCTCCCTCTGCCATGTCCTCTAATGGTCGTCGATGTTCCCGAAGTTCGTCGACTTCGAATACCGAGGATCAGTCGCGAGCCATGTACGCAAATGGTGCTCGCTTTCGGGACACTATTTTCCCTGTCTCCCAAAGTTACCCACGTCGATTGATTGCTTCTGGCTGCTGCATTTTTATGGAGTCTATTAAAGTTTTATGGAATTCGTTTTTTAGGTGATGTAGAGATAGTGGGACGTTGGTGAAAGGAATGAATTAACCCTTCCAAAGAATAGCGTTTCTAGCTAATTAACCTAAACAGCATTCATTCCTACCCAAGCCGAATTTCCTTTGATACGTTTAAAGGAACGCAGTTTTTTTTATTTATTTTTGAACGCTGTGGTTTTAGTTCTTGCGTGATAAAAAAGGTGATTGTTATGGGTGATCCTTGCGTTAGGTCGACCTTCATGGCTGAGTGACGACGTACAGTAGGCTGTTTTTTTTTTATAAGAGAAAAAGTGAGGTTCGATAGTCTACGGCTTATGGGTTTGTCGGTAGTATATCGTAGTGGGAATAAGAATTTACATGAAGAAATAGGACACATACAGTAAGAACACATAGTAGTAGATAATGTTCTACATACTTAGCCATGAGTTCAAGTCTACGTAGAAGTCGTATAATGACATGAAAGAATAATGACATAATGTCATGCTATGTCATCATCAATGAACCTTAAACATTGTACTCCAGTTCTCTCCTGTTACATAACTCCTTTCTTGTTCCCACCATTGTTTCGTTCGAACGAGCAAGACCCGTGCCCCTGGGTCAGCGTTCCAAGCGAAATGGTAATCGGAAATGAAAAGTTCGAGCCGGTCCGCGTTCCGTAGCGTTCCCCGGATGGGGAGGAAAATGGATTAAAGGGTAGTCCTGGGGACGGCATCATGGCGAATATCGGCCAATCAGCCCCACCCAAGGCAGCCCTCACGGAATTGCGTGAATCCGAAGCGATGGGTTCATTAATTGGGAGGCGTGGATTGATTTATCTCGTGATTAACATGCCCGACGATCGTGCGTATCTCGATCCGAGTATCTTTCCAATCCTTCTTTTCACTGATTCATGGATTATCTCGGAAAATTCTGCTACTGTTGCATCATCGAAAAGTTTGTTCGAACACTGGTAGTACAAGAATACTCGAGGAAGTATAATAGTGTACTCAACATTTCAATTTATTAAATCTTATCACGAAAAGAAAGTCACCTGTCATCGTTCTGAACACGATTCTATTAAGAATCATTTTCTGGGATATCCTAGTATATAGGACCAGAATACTTCCTTTGTTCTCAATGAATATTTTACTAGAAATTATCTATAAAATAGTTTCTGTAGACGGTATAATTATGATTCATGCATTGCGATATTCATATATTTATACATATTATTCACAGTTCGATTATAATGGTATTTTCCTGTACTCGCCCGATTTCTCCTCCATTCACCACCATTTCCCAACAATTCTTTAACGTGATTCATATAAAGCAGTTCAAGTTCAAGAAACCCATTGAACATACTTTTGTGAAATTTCTTT